CTCAAGTAACGAATAGGTCTTTATATCTCACGATCTCATTTTTTACATTTTGTTTCTGGACAAAGACCCACTTGTATCCAACAGACTTTATATTGTTAAGGGTTGAAGCTATAGGCCCGAAAACCTCTCATTTAACTAGGGAAGCCAATTCAACCTAGATTGTTTCCTCCTACTTAGGCCAATCTTGCCTTTAATAACATTCGATAATAGATCACGATTCATAATAATCATTTATAATCTCATGAGTAATCAAGAGTGCAAAAACATCATCAACAATTATCTCATTCTGATCCAAAATCTCATTACAATATGTAAAGGAAATCTCAATATTCTCAAGATTGGTGGTCTTTTGATGGGTTCTTGCCTCTTCATGGGCAATAGGCTTTCCTGGAACAAGCTAAACACTAGGCTCTTTTAAAGTGGATTTCCAATTCCTCCCTTTTCATTTTCAAGGGATAGTGTCTTTTGATCTTATCGGTCTTCCACACTTCAAGCGTGAGCCATTTTAATCCATTTCAACCCATTTTTCAAGAACAGCAGTCCTAGTTGGAATATTCGCAATTGGAATATGAGACTTTGTAACCTTGGCAGCATCATTAAATGCATTAGGAAGTCTATTGGCAATAACCCATAAATGGATTATACGTTGCACCTCATTTTTATATTTAGGAGTTCTTGGGTCTAAATGAGATAGACTTTTTTGAATCCAAAAGAGAATCTTAGCTAGTTTCTGCTTGTCAATCATGAAACCCTTAGGTATCCTAATAAGTGGAAACACTTTTTTATCGAAATAACAATCCACGAATTTGGCAATAAAAAAAATCACCTGTCGTTGGTTTTAAGAACTTAATAATGGATGGTGAATCAAGTCCAACGTGAATGCCCAAATGATGTTAAGGACCCATTTTAGTCCTTTTCGATAGTGGTACAAGCACTTGCATAGTGCAACCAAAGGTGCGTAAATGTGAAATGTTTGGTTCATAACCTAGAACCAACTGCATAGGAGACTGCAAGCGACTAACAGTGGGGAACAATCTAATTAGTGCTATTGCATGCAAAAACAACATGACCTCACATTGAATAGTTGAGATTTGTTCTCAATAATAAAGTACAAGCAATAATCTAGATGCGTCTAATCAGGGATTTTGCCAATCCGTTCTGAGTATGAACATGTGTAACCAGGTGCTTAACTTTAATTCGTAGTAAAGCACAATACACATCCAAGCTCTTTGATGTAAATTCATTAGCATTATCCATCCTTATGCTCTTGATTAGATAATTAGGGAAATGTGTCAGAAGCTTTATAATCTGCACAAGTAAACATGCAAAGGTGACATTACGAGTAGATAATAGGTAAACATGTGACCATTTACAAGATGTGTCCACTAATACCATGAAATATCAGAACGGTTCACTTGCTAGTTGCACTGATCCACAAATATCACCTTGGTTTGTTTTGCAAGAATGAAGAGGATTGAAGATTCACCTTGGTTATAGAAGGTTTAGTAATGAGCTTTCCTTGTGAACAAGTTTCACATGTATCATCTTTGAATAACAAAACCTTTTTTATCTTTTAAAGGGTGTCTTCTAGTATTTTAGATTACCTACGCCATCGTTATAGCTCCCCGAGTGACCTAAGCGATCATGCCTATGTCCAAACACATTGGGATTTGCCAATTTCTAGGACATGGTAGCATAGAATTCAATAGCTCTAATAGTGACACAATACAATCCTATAGTTGAAGCTTTTAACTTTTTATGGATCGTTTTCTGGCCTATCTTATAAAAAGTAATGTAGAGACATTTCTTATTTTGCTCATTAATTGTCTCAAGATGGTATCCATTACAGTGTACATCTTTGAAGCTAAGTAAATTCCTCTTTGATCTACTGCTTAGTAATGCATCTTTGATATGCAAGGTGGTGCCATTTGGTAGAACAATTGTGGCATTTCTGGAGCCATCAATAAGCCCAACATGACTTGATATTGTATGGGCATTTGCCTTACTCAATGTCACACTCAAGAAAAAGTTCTTGCCACAAAGTATGGTATGTGTCATTGTAGCATCAAGCAAATAAACATCTTCCCTTCTCTCAGTGATTCCCATTTGCACTTGTATTGACAACTTCAAGTGTCAACTACAAGGGTTCTCAAAGATCTTCCTTTTGCTTTTGGGGATGGAAAAAGGCTTAAGATCTATTGTTGGCTTTAAGCTTGTTGGACGGTATACAAAATTAAAATCTAATTGGTTGAAGAATTAAAAAAAAAATTAGCTTCTTAGTTGGTTAGAGCCTCGTGTAAATAATGTGTTGTGAAATATAATTTTAAAAGAAAATATTCGAGAGAAGTAGTAGGAATGTAAGAAGATCTTTTATTTTATTTCTTGTTTCAATATATACACCATCAACTACAATGCCTTTATTTACAGGGACACATAGATGGAGGAGAAATAAATTTACATAAATAGAATGATGAATTTAGTAGATAAAAATATACATATGTTGAATGAAATCAAGAGATAGGGATATAGCAGCATAAGGATGTACATTGAATATGAGAGATATATTGGATATTAATGAATATTCACATATATTCATAACATTATTATTATTATTATTATTATTATTGTTCTTTTCTCTTCATGATACAATGTCGTTTCAGTGTGCTACTTTTTTTTTTTTTTGGAAATGGTGCTGTTTTCATCAATCCTTGTTTTTCCAAAACGACATCATTTGAAGTTGTTTGTTTTCATCTCCCCAGTGCCGTTTAGGTATGGGTAGAAATACCTCTTTTTTTTTTCTTTTTTCATTTTCTCCCTTATCCTTTCCATCCTTTCCCTTTCTCTCTCTAGTTCATAAAGTGGAAACGATCTCAAAATTTATTAATTAAATTTAATTGTTTATAGTTTACTATTTTCTGTAAAGAAAATTTTATTTTAGACATTAAATTTATTTAAATTTGATATTTTTCATAAAAATATAATTTTTTACTTATATATATTGCATATCTTTATACTTTAAAATCTAACTAATTGAAAATTAATCAAGACATGAATTTATTATTATAAATATTTATTAATATAATTATGATGTTTAGATATTAAATTATATATCCATGTGCAACGCATGATATAGCAAAAACTAATAACAACAGATCGATAAATAAGAAAAAAAAATTGCCAAGATGAGCAAAATGTCCACCATGAATTTGGTCAAGCACCTACTGAGAAAGAAAAAATCAAGCAACGTGATCCACAATTTTTCATTCATTCAAAGTTGGGTTTGTCTACATTCTGCCGTAACAATTTACAGCCAGAAAAAAAAAACGAATTTCCTTGTACCTTAAAATTTTTAGTTCCTGTAGGCATGACTGTCGTGGCACTATTCGCGCCAAGAAAATCTAAGCCCACTTTTCTTGGAATATAAAATTGCAGTAAAAATGAGGTTAATGTGATGATTTAGCAATAATATTCAATTCAACTACTGGAGCGTCCCTTTATAATGGAGTGATCATGGATCTTTAAAATTTTTAAAATTTTTTATATATTATATATTTTTTTAATAATATTTTAACTAATTTTTTATTAAATTATTAATATAATTAATAATAATAAAATAATTTTATATATTTTATTTAATTTTATTTAAATTTTTAATTTTTATTTAATTTTTTAAATTTGGTCATCTATATTTTCTTTTTTTTTCTATCTTTATATTGTGAATTATAAAAAGATAAAGTTTTTATTTAGTTAATTAATTAATTTATATTATTGTTATTTATATTTTTTTTAATTTTATTTTATCTGCTCATATATTTTAAGTTTCTATAGATTTTCTCTTCTAAATTTCTAAGAACCATCAACCATATTTTTTTTTGTTATAGTGGTTATATCTCCTACTTGTCATGGTTTTTTATTTTCTGTTATGTGGATTTTATTTTTAATAATTTTAATTTTTAAAAATTAAAAAATTATTATATATGAAATTCTCAAATATAAGTTCTAGTGTTGTATTATTGTTTATTGTTTAAAATTTTACTAATATTTTATTTTTATTAATCTTAATTATATGAGAAAAAATTATTTTGAGTATATGTTTTTAATGTGTTTTACGTTTTATATCTAGTTGAAAGGAAATTATCTTGAGTATAAGAAGAAATTATTAATTATGTATATCATATTTAACTATTTATATTTTATATATTATAGTTTAATATTTAATATTATAAACTTAAATATAATAAAATAAAAATATTAGAGGTTGACTACATTAATTTTTTAATCATTTATATTGAGAAAGACAAAACTTCGAAACAAAATGGATGATAAATTTCTTACAAATAATTTAGCTGTTTATATTAAAATGAATATTACCATTGTCGAACAAAATTTTTCTAGAATACTATTATAAGTTTGTTTTTTTATTTTTTTTATTTATATGTTATATAAAATTATTGTATATTATAAATTTTTTGATTATTAATGGTTAAGTTCAATATATTAGTTTTAACATTTTTTAACTTTTATTCTTCTTAACCTTTGACCCTCTTCAATAAAAATTGACTGGCTCTACCCTTGCAACTACTTGTACAGTCTTCCATTTGCTTCAAAGAAAAATCTAATCTAGATCAAGTTAAGATATTGTCACCTAATTAATCAAAGATTATTGACCGATTAAGATTGATACTTAGCGAGTAAAGATCATCTCCAAATATAATTAATTATTAGTAATCTAAAGCGCCCTATTGGAATAAGTTGCCTTTTGAATTAACTAATGCTAATTAGTGGGATGTGGATTTAGTGGGATATAGATTGGGTGACCAAAGGTGCGGTACTGGCCCTGGATTATTGAGGCCCCAGAGGATAGGACTTCTTAGTTTGAGACCATCCGCATTGCTCACCAAAGTTTTTCACGTGGATAACAAGTTTTTTTACGTAGGCTTTCCAGGAAAAGTCATCAAGCATAGCCGAGTCCTTTAGCTTATAAATTCCCCGGTGCTTCGCAGGATCACTTCCATCGTCCAAGCATCTCCTTCTTTGATCAAAGCCATTACTTTCACTCAAACCAATTGCAACCGCTAAGTCTGATTATATCTGGCCTGTTTAGAGGATAATGGCTTCTTCCGTTCTCAGGACAGGTTTTCTTCCTCTGCTGCAGTCTTGGGATGGATGTAATTCGATTCCGAGCTTGCATAATTTTACTACTACTCATCACAGAGGTGACCGCAAGGTCTGTCTCTCCTCTCTCAGTCCATGTCTCTGAATAGTCATGGGAGGAAAAGTGCAATGTTTTCATTGGTTTTCTGCTGCGAACCACTTACGTATAAATGACTTTAGATTCACACTAGATTTTTTTGGACGAATTATTGCAGTGTCAGTGCAAGAGAGTAGCGGCTGCCCAGCTGGGAACAGGAAATGCAAGCGGTGACAGAAACGGCATGGTGAAAAGAGGGCAGCCAACAATACATAATGAACACTTGAACGGATACCTTAATTTCTCAGGAGAAAAGCCATCCACTCCAGTTCTTGATACCATAAACCATCCTATTCATATGAAGAATCTTTCCATCGAGGTATAAACTGTAAACAATAATTAAAATAAAATAATTTTTGATCCAATTGGTTACGCAGAAAATAATATAATTTTTCATTAAAACTATAGGAGCTTGGTAAGTTAGGTGATGAGCTACGAGAAGAAGTAGTATACACGGTGTCAAAGACGGGTGGGCACCTGAGTTCAAGCCTGGGGGTGGTTGAGCTAACAGTGGCACTTCACCATGTATTCAATACTCCTGAGGATAAAATTATTTGGGATGTTGGGCATCAGGTACATAATTTTTTCTTTTTCTATTCCATAAATACAGCTCCATGCATAAATGATCAATTGGTTAAAATGTTTTGTTTGAACAAACTTCTTATTGAATTCTGGTGTTTACAGGCCTACCCGCATAAGATTTTAACCGGGAGAAGATCAAGAATGCGTACAATTCGACAAACATGGGGATTAGCAGGGTTTCCAAAGAGGGAGGAGAGCAAACATGATGCCTTTGGAGCTGGCCATAGTTCTACTAGCATTTCCGCTGGCTTAGGTACATGGTCAGAGCTTTTGTCACCGAGTGGTACTATGGAAGATGTGGTGGTGGTTAAAAAGGAAATAAATGATGAGTGGTTTTAATATGAATTGCACCCATGATAAATAATTAAAGCTGTCATAATCAATGCTCTTTTGACGCCAGGCCCGGACTCTTGTTTTTAATCTGAACTATTGACAAGTTTTTTGCTTGTCCTGGAAATGGGTTCCATTCATCTCCCACCTTTTCATAAATAAGATTAACAAACAAAAATTCTTTTCATAGAAATATGCTAACTTAGGCTCTTTTATTGCTTTCCAGGGATGGCAGTTGGAAGAGATTTGTTGGGGAAGAACAATCATGTAATTGCAGTAATAGGTGATGGAGCCATGACTGCTGGAATGGCATATGAAGCACTGAACAACGCCGGTTATCTTGACACAAATCTTATCATCATCTTGAACGATAATGAGCAAGTCTCCTTGCCAACTGCCACGATCGATGGCCCTGCTCCTCCTGTTGGAGCTCTTAGTAAAGCTTTAACTAAGCTGCATTCAAGCAGGGAATTTCGTCAATTTCGCGAAGCTGCAAAGGTGATTGCTGAAATAAAAATTTGGCAACTTGGAAGACTTATAGCTTTCTGGAATATGACTTGGTTATGTAACTTTAGGCTTCAATAACTCTGCATAATGGGCTTATTAAGTTCTTTGACAAATCAACAGGGCATCACAAAGAAAATAGGAGGGCAAACACATGAAATCGCTGCCAAACTTGATTCCTATATGAGAGGAATGGCCGGAGGTTCTGGGGCTAGCCTATTTGAAGAACTAGGACTATACTACATTGGTCCAGTGGATGGTCATAATGTAGAAGACCTTGTTGATGTCTTAAATAAAATTAAGTCAATTCCAGCCCCAGGGCCTGTTCTCATTCATGCCATTACCAAGAAGGGAAAAGGCTATGCTCCTGCTGAGATAGCACCTGATAAAATGCATGGTACATTCAATTCAGACTGTCATGACAATGTTTTCTTCTCTTTTTTCACAAAAGTCCAGTGTTTACAGAAATAGGCCTAACAGGGTTTGTCTTGCTGTAGGCGTTGTGAAATTTGATCCCAAATCTGGAAAACAATTGAAGAGCAAGCCAGAAACGCTTTCATATACCCAATACTTTGCAGAGTCTTTAATAGCTGAAGCAGAGCAAGATGATAAAATTGTAGGAATTCATGCTGCGATGGGTGGAGGAACAGGACTTAATTTATTTCAAAAGCAGTTTCCAGATAGATGTTTTGATGTCGGTATAGCAGAACAACATGCTGTCACTTTTGCTGCTGGTTTAGCTTGTGAAGGCCTTAAGCCTTTTTGTGCCATTTACTCTTCGTTTCTACAAAGAGGGTTTGATCAGGTAATTCAATTTCTCCCTACATTAATTTAATCTTAAAGACTAAGGCATTTCGCATCGTAGCTACGTAAAACTTGAACAATTCTAATGAACGAACTTTACCTTGATTATTGCAGGTTGCTCATGATGTAGATCTTCAAAAGCTTCCAGTGAGATTTGCAATAGACAGGGCCGGCCTGGTGGGTGCAGATGGACCAACCCATTGCGGTGCCTTCGACACTACCTTTATGGCATGTTTGCCTAACATGGTGGTTATGGCCCCTTCAAATGAGACTGAGCTGATGCACATGGTGGCCACAGCAGCAGCAATTGATGATCGGCCTAGTTGCTTTAGGTACCCCAGAGGAAATGGCATTGGCTCCATTCTCCCACCAAACAACAAAGGAACACCTCTGGAGGTACTGATTTTATTTTGCATGATCTTTTTGTTACGTTCCATCTGGTCTTGCATAGCATCTGTTCAGTTTTCATAACCGAAATTCGGAACATATTTCAGGTTGGTAAGGGAAGAGTACTAAGAGAGGGAAGCAGGGTGGCTATTTTGGGTTATGGAAGCATAGTGCAAAGTTGTATGAAAGCGGCAGAGCTACTACACGTGCTTGGCATCTCAGCAACAGTGGCCGATGCTCGATTCTGTAAACCTATTGATGGAGATTTAGTAAGACAGCTAGCTCAGGAACATGAGGTCTTGATCACTGCCGAAGAAGGATCTATTGGAGGGTTCAGCACTCATGTTTCTCATTTCCTTGGCTTGAACGGATTGCTAGATGGAAAGCTTAAGGTAACATATCCAAACAACTTCCCGTTAATCTGAACTACAGCCTTGACATCCAATTGGGACTATTTGTTAAGCTAGAAAATGATGAGTTGAAGATTTTGTATAATTTCTTAAATCTATCTTACTTGGTGCAGTGGAGGCCTATGATGCTCCCTGACAGATACATTGACCACGGATCTCAGAAGGATCAGATCGAAGAGGCAGGGCTCAGCTCAAAGCATATTGCAGCCACAGCTTTGTCACTGCTGGGGGAATGCAGGGAGGGCTTTCAACTGCTCAACCTGTATTAGTCTTTATTTACCAAAACTCCTTTTAGCAAGTGAATTCGTTGCTGGTTTTAGATAGCAAGAATGTAATATAGGCATTCTACATTGAATATATACTTCAATTTAGCATATCACGATGGCAAAACCTGGTGTAATTGACCCTTTTTATCAATGTAATATATTTGGGGAATAGCTGCTGGAACTTGTGTCATGGAAGTTTTTTGTTGAAACTCGAAATAACTCAAACCAAGCAATTTGAAAAATGAAACTTGAAAAATGACTTAAAAAACTAATATCTAAAACTCAAATTAACAAAGCAATGTGCACAATTATTATACTGGACATGGTATTTCATACTAGACCTAAATGTGCACATGACCATTATGAAAATGCCATGATAAACAATAACAAAAATAAGGTGATTGCTTATTTAATTTCCAAAAATTTATAAAAATAAAAAACCTTTAAGAGACATGATATAAACAGAATTTTCTTTTACCATTAATTTTTATTCAAAATCAACTAAAATAAAAGTTTAGTAACAAAATTCAATGCAAGTATAATAATTAAACTCAACATTGAATTATAGTAGAGTGATAAATTTGATACATTTGTGTCCATTTTTAGTTATACTTCTCTCATTGGAAACAAATAAAATGACGAAAATTCCTCAAAGTAGACCATCCAAATGTGGAACTAAATCTCCAATATCTTATTTGAGCCAATCAAGCTCTTTACTCTAATTTGCTTAGATCAAATCCAATTTTAACACTAAAATGTTGCCTACTGTTATGATATCCAGCTCGCCATTTCCAAACTTTTGGTATAAAACTTGCAAAGAGTTAATTAGATGAATGTTTTTTATTTTTTGTTACATGAAGTAGGGAAATGTTTAAGTATTTAAAAGTCTTACTATCTGATTACTACAAAAGAAAAATATTTCTACAATTGTTAGTACTATTTATTATCATTGTGTCATAGTTGAATTATCCTAATATGGGAGCAAATAACTTTACTCCTTTACATCTCATTCTACATGTCCTTTATTATGGACATAGGAGGTGCAAGAATAATTCGAAAACCACCCCTTCTTTTATTTTTTTTTTGAGAAAAAAAATGTAGTTGGATTTGTTCTTAAAACAGAATGCTTTCAGCCGCAGTCGAAACAAAGTGAGAGACCTGCATGAATAGTTGCCTTGCTTAATCGGGCAAGCAAGTTAAACCAGTTTCACACTTTTGTACTTGACATGCAGGGTTGTCGGAACGACGGACTGACGGCAAAGCTTTTTCTTATAAGGAAGTAGAAGCCATTGCGCTCGGATCAAATAAAAGATTGTGTAATGATTTAAAGTTGTTGGTATCGAAGGAAGGGTATATATACACATCAAAGATGTTATAGTTTTGAATACAAAATGGAAGGTCATTCCTTAGTTGTTCATAATCTAGTACATTCATTTTCACTTACTTAACAAAAAGTTGTTATCAGAATAGTTTTTATTATAAAAAATAAGTGTTAGAGGATAATGATTTTGTCAATGCATTACTAGTATTACAATTATATACAAAAGTTATGATTAATTCTGTTAACAAAAAAGTAAGCTATTTTTCATAATAAAACAACGGCAAAGTAAGTTGAAAAAACTAAATTAATATATAAATTAGTTACATGCAAAAAAAAAATAAAGTGAGTAAAAATAAAAGGAAAAACTTTTTGCTCAAATAAGAAGAATTTCATACATTTAATAGAATCTGAAAAATATGTAAGCAAAGGGGCCTTAAAATAGACAAAAAAACAAAACAAAAACATGTTGTGAGCCCCATTACCCCTGCATTATGACACACTATGGCAGTGAAGTAGTAAGCCATAATTGTATGATACTTTTCCACAATTGTTAAAGGAAATTCATCTTCTATGATTCATGGATTCCAACTTCAATGTCCCTACCCTTCTTTTTGTTCTAACATTTGCTTTGTTCTCAGAACAAATTCTATAAAATAAGCCCATCAAATGAAGCAAATCTCATTCTTCTTGACAAACAATTTTACATAGAACAACTATCACATATAGAATGTGTTTGGTTTACGGAATGAATTAGGGTGAGAATAGACTAATCATTCTATAGTAATACAATAAGAGAGAAATAATTATTATATAGTTTCGTTCATAAGAATGGAATAGGACATGAATTGCTATTACAATCTATTTTAATGTTTGGTTTACAGGAATAGTTTTAAGAATAACTAAGTAATAAGCGATAAATGATAAAAATACTTTTTATTATAATATATGATTATTTTATTTTAATCTTTATTTTTATTTTTAAAATATTAAAATTTTATAATTAAAATTTTAAATATGAATTTTTTAGAATTTATAATTAAAATTTTAACTTAATTTTAAAATATAAAATATTAATTTTTAGCTTTTTTTTTTCATTGTAGTATTTTCATTTTTTTATCTTTTCTTTCTCCTTACTAGTTAGCGACGAGAAATGTGGTTAACATAATGGAGCTTCGATTTGGCGTTCCTCATGGCCAGATATGTTAAAGGAACACCAATCGATACTTCTTGTAGTTGGCATCAATGCCGCCATCAAATATCATCGCCCTCCATGAAATGACTTTAGAAAAAGATTGAAAGAGGTAGAAGATGGGTAGAGATAGAAAGAAAATGCGAAAAACGAAAAAAAAAAAGTATATGTTATGTATGACGGTAATTTATACATTTATTTAAAAGTAATTTTGTTTAACAAAATTTTTGATTTATTCCCCTACCCTTAGAATAGCTATTATCAAGGTCCGTCTTGATAATAGTTATTCAAGTTTATTCAAGAATGACCATTCCAATGAAGCAAACTAGTTATTAAAGTGGGCTTAGGGTTAGAGGGAGAATAGCTATTCCATTTCCCCCAACCAAATATGCTGATAGAAGTAAAAAACACAACATTGATACCTTGGACATGTGTTTGACCCTTTGCCTCACAACCTTCGTAAAACGAATCTAAAAGCAATAGTACTACTCAATACATCACTCCTTAATACTTTATCATTCAACGATTGTAGCTAATTCTTGGAATTGGTTGAATTTAAAGATGCCGCGCTCCTAAAATATTTGTGAAGGTAAAAAAAATGTAAAACAAAGTGTATTAAAAAAAACTATAAAGTCACATCATGGTTAAGGGAGAAGCAAAAAATAAATGAATTTCAAACGATCAGTTCTTGAAAGATTTGTGAAAGTTTGTAAAAAATAACCTAAATAGAAAAATAAAAAAAATGAATGAAATTTTTTTAGAGTTTAAAATTAAATGGGAAGATCATTAAGTACATGATTTAAGTAGCTAGAAGCATTGAAGATCAATTGAATAATTGACACTGATAAAAATGGGAGCAATATTGCAACTGATGTTTGATAAAGTTCCAAGCAATTCATAAGGCAATATGCGGAGTTTGTGGTTAATATTCCTGCCAGGTGGCCAGTGGACAACCAAGTGAGTATTATGCTATATGAGTGTGTAAACATTCTAGTAGAATTGTAGTTATAAGCAAATGTCATGATTAAAGTGTTAAGTACAGGTTGTTGCCTTTTTACAAAAAGGGGAGGGCTATTTTGTGATTACCAAGATCATGTCATGCAATTTGTTTTGTACAAAAGGTGAACAAAAAGCTTGTTCAGGATTGAAGAAAAATTAATTGTTGTGTAGTTCATCACTTGATGAGCAAGTTGAGAAAGAAATCAAAGGTATTTGGCTACTCATATACCACATCAATAATGTTGAACAGTACAATATTAATAATTAAGAAACAATAAGCTTAGAAAAATTTATGTACAACCCATCTAAGAAATAATGAAGAAATAAGCTTATGAACAACTTAAACAATACAAGAAGCGAAGCTAGATTTGCTCAAAAAATAAAAAGCTTCCAAAGACTATGTAAATAAATAGTAGAAAAGTATGATTGAAAGCTATAACAAAGCAAATGCATAGAAAAGAATATAAATAAAAAAGCAAAGAATAATCTAATGTTTGCATGTTGTAAAGGAAACCAAGAACAGCGAAAAAAAATCAAATAAAAGATGTAACTAAATAAAAGAATAATTAACAAACAATAAGTCGTCACTTTACACTTAGGTGGCGTTTGGTACATTACAATGCCAATGTATTTACAGGTAATGTGATTGCAAGTAATGTGATTGCAAGCAATGTGATTACAGGAAAATAACATTACAGTGTTGGTATGTAAGTAAAATAATGATTAAAATGCAGGGAAGATAACATTGCAGTGTTTGTTTACAAGTACTTTAGTGGAAATGTAATGCTAATTGTCAAAATTACCCTAATTATTAAAATATAAGTTTAATATATTTATATTTTTATTAATTTTTATATAATATCATTTTTAAATATATTTTTAATATCATATATTTTATTTTTTATTTATTATATAATATTTTATATTTTATTTTTAATATATTTATATTTTTATTAATTTTATATAATATCATTCTTAAATATATTTTTAATATCATATATTTTATTTTTATTTTATTATAATATTTATATTTATTTTTAATATATTTATATTTATATTATTAATTTTTATATAATATCATTTTTTAAATTATTTTTAATGTCATATATTTTATTTTTATTTATTATTATAATATTTATATTTTTATTTTTAATATATTTATATTTAATTATTATTTTTATATATAATATCATATTTTAATATATTTTTAATGTCATATATTTTATTTTTATTTATTATTATAATTTTATATTTTTTCAGTTCTTTAATATATTTTTATATTATTATTTTATTTTAATTTGTTTTATCTATATTATATAAATATTAATTTTTATATTTTATTTATTTTAATTTTTATTCTTATATTATATATTATTTTAATTATAATATTATAAAATATTTTTAATAAGATAATAAAGTTGAAGGGTAAATTTGTCTTTAAGAACATTGCAGAGTGCAATGTAATGTGATTGCATTGGTTTTGGACTGCAATCACATTACATCCATTGGCTGCAATGTGGATTACATTGCATCTTACATTGCAGTGTTTGTTACAAAACAAACACTGCAATGTAATTTAATCAATCACATTACAGGTAATGTACTTTACATCCTTCAAAACAAATGGCCCCTTAGTTGCAGGCAAATCTTACGCTATAAA